ACCATGGGGAGAGTTTACCCCAAAGTCCTATGTCACGTGGGCTTTGTTTAATCTTCTTTAGCACTGCTTGAACTTTTGTGAGATTGGGAGCAACTTTCTTCTCTTCAGTCTTTCCCTCCAATCAACATTCTGCTTGGTATAACCACTTTGAACACTAGTTTGATCAGATAGATAAGGTCCACGACTGACAAAGAAAACAAGCGGAGCGAGAACTGAGAAGAGAACGAGAATCACGATAGGAATCGAGATCCATAACTTCTGTTCCTGTGGACGCCCACACTGGATAGTACACGCTTCAACGCCATTGGCAATCAAAGCGAGTTAACCACAGATCTCGTGAAACTCGACAAAATAACTAATGTCAGCGAACGTAATACTTTTCACGGTCAACTCGTTTAGTGGATGGACCAAATTTCGGTCGATTCTCTTAGTTCGAGTTGGTTCAAAATTGACAGATACCAACCGAACGATATAATTCCGTCTCTGAATCAAAATATCCCCACGACCGGCTGGCGAGGAAACCAGTGGCAGCAGTAGTGGCTTGGTGGAGCTGCGGTAACCATGGCTGCCCAAGTGGAGGCCCAAAACAGCCTGAACGATGCACGACAGTGGCTACCCATGGCCGTTGAAGGCGATACACGAGCTTCCAGCCCAACCCAGTCCTCGAAGATGAAACTCCCGACCAAGCAAGCGACTAAAACGACCTTGGACTCACGGTTTACTTACCAAACGACCAGGAACAACAGCACCACGACAGCCCGAGAGTGGGGGTTGCGTCGCGTGCCCTTTGTGCGAAGACCGACAACCTTGCTCCGTCGATCGACGGCGAGAAGAGTAGGTTAAGAGAAGCCCCCTCCAGCAGAGTTTGAAACCTATTTTATTTTATATTCCAAAAAGAAGACCCCCTAGTCCAAAGCAAAAGACGTGAGGTGAGGAATTGAAGTTAATGTGGTTATGGATGTTGTGGGAGTAGTGGCCGACACGATGGAAGGGGAAAGCAATGGAGGTTCCTTGTTGTTGGATAGTGTCTGAGTGGCTAGTTTGTTCGTGAGAAAACATCAATGGAAATGGGGGTCAGTGAAATAATTATAATATATAAATTAATAAAAATAAAAAAAATAATAATAATAGCAATAATATAATATAATATAATATAATATTTTTATAGATTCGGACAAAAACGGGGTCTACAACACCATAAGAGGAACATACGTAATTTATAGTGTGACCACCAGATGAATCAATTACTTGCTATTACTCATATAAACCCTATCCATGAGACGATCTTTCATAAAAATCAAGTTATCATCATTGTTTATTTAAAGAAGTTATCAATATAATTGTCGATTTTCTATATCAGTATGAAACCCATTCTCTTTAATATTTCACCCACTAGTTTTCTTTACAGAAGTTTAGTAAGAAAATTTGAACAAAACTTTTTTTTGACTTCATATAACCAATTGATATTACATCATTTCTTTGTCACTACTTTATTATCTTATGCATTAGTTAAATATGTATATTTTACTATTGAAAGCTTTATTTTTTACAATGATTATTGTTTTGCATTGAACTTCAATTTTTGTCCAATAGAATATAGGCTAAGATGGTATTCCAATCACCCAACTTCATTATAAAGGTTTAAAAAAAGTTTTATGTCACTTAGTTTGAGTTTCATATCGATATAAAAAGTATAAAGAAGACCCTAAAACACTAAAATTTTTCATTTCAATCCATTACCAACCATCGCCGGTCATCTCTAGCCATCATAGTCATCGTTGAATGGTTGAGTTTTGATTAGAATTGCACGATTGTTCGAATGGTGGTGGCAGTATGGCTTATGAACGTAAAAATCGACCATAATCGACGAAGAACAACGTCAGTGGCTTAAAATCAAACAAACCTTTGAATTCTTCTCCACGACAAGTGGTGGTAGATTACGACGAAAGGTCAACGGGGATTTGATCGGAGGCGACGCCGGTACTGATGACAGTGGCAGTGGCGGTGACGGTCACGACTGGCTGACCAACGACTATGGAAGGGAAAGAGGGAAGGAGAAAGGGATAGGGAGAGAGGGGATGCACATAATGATGTTTTTTTTTTAATATTTTTACTTTTTTTAAATTTTAAATAAATTCTCAAAATTATCATAACGTGACATATGCCATTTAACATAGATTTTTAATGGCAGTTAATGTCCGAACATCTAAAAATGTATCTTTGAAAACATTAGACACCTACTTTTTACGAAAAATTCTTTAGACATTAAAACATTTTTGCGAGGCATAATTTAGACATTTATTTTTTATATTAAGCCTACTCTAAAAGAGGAGTACGAAAAGAAAAAAGAAAAGAAAAAGAAAAAGGGGAGATATTTTCTTCAAATCTTCAATTACGACGTTGTATTAAGCCTTTTCAGTTATTGCTCTCTTTTCCCTTACTTTCCCAGTAAATTTCATCTCTCTCATTGCTCCCTTCCCTCTCTCTTTTTCCAGTAATTTTTATGAGATGCAAGATTTAAATACAACCACTATATATGATAAAAAAAAATCCTTGCTCTTTTTCTTCTTTATCTTCCACCTATATTTTGAGTTTTAGTACACAAGGCATATTATTATGGAGGAAGATTTAAATACAATCACTATATATGGAAAAAGCAAATTTCACACAGGAAAATGATTACATATGATGCCATATATCCCTTTGAGATTATAATATAGTTAGGTTTGTCTATTTATAGTATATATGCTTTCTATTGCATGATAAAAACACGATGTTATATGTATTTTGATTGAAAAGTTAAAGGCAATTAATGAAATGAAGAGCTTTTTGTAGAAATGTTATATAATTTAGTGGTCTATTTTAATAAGTTGTATATGTCAATTAGTAAGTAAATCTTTAAGTTAAAAAAGTATGCCTCACTTCAATAAGGACGCACCTTACGTTTGGGACTTGCATCTAGGTTATAGGATCCTTATCGTCTTTAGTGCATTTTGTGCTATTTTTTACATAAAAAATTATTAAATTTATCAATAATAAAAATTAAATGATAAAATTTGATTAAATCATTTTTTTAATTTAAATAAGTATTGAAATTAAATTTAATGATGTAACATATAAATTGCCCTCCTTATCTCTGTTTTGAAAACCGGACCGGTCGGTTCAACCGGGAACTGTTGTTTAGTCCGGTTCAATCTAAACCGGTTGAATCGTTATTAGTGAACTGGCCAGAACCGCTGAACCGGACCGGCTGAAAACTGAAAAAAACCGAGAAAAAACGGGATTTTTGTTTTTTTTTTAAAAAAAAATTAAACCAAACAACGTCGTTTGTTAAACGAGTCAAGTCGAACTCGAGTATTGCTGAGCTCGACTCGAACTTGAAAACTTTAAAAGTAAGCTCAACTCAACTCAAACTCACAAGCTAAAAATTATCAAGTTCAACTCAAACTCGAAATATAATATTGAAACTTGAACTCAAAAAAAAAATTAGAAACTCGATTGAAGCCTAAAATTCGAGCTTGATTGAAGTGAAAGAATAGTTCACTCAATGCTCACCAAAAGGCTCCATGATTTTGAATGCCAAATTACCTCTATTATTTATAGAAGTTAGTTGTGATGCGCTTCTATATTTCTTAGCAATGTGAGATTGTTTTGTTCTCATATTTTTTTCTCTTTAGACTTTTGGAATGCTCTTCTATGTTTCACTTGATTTTATGGTTTTTAACTTATATATGTTATGACTTGCTTTGAATATGACTTGTGATATAAAAAATTATTTTTTATTAAATATTTTTGGTATTTTTATTTAATTTTTAAAATAATTATGACGTCGTCCGGTTGAACCAATGAACCGATAGCATGACCGATTCGCTAACCGATCCGATTCTGAAAACCATGCTCCTTATTAGCTTAGTGATGTTACTGACAATGAGAACCCTTTTAGATGTTTGAGCCTGACTTTCATTTACGGCCATCGTACTGTTGTGTTTGGAGTCTTCGGGGACAATAGATTGGGGATATTGGATTTTGATGTTAACACTTCGTTTTTAGACTATATGAAGAAGAAAGAGTCTAATTTGTAAAATTTGGCATTAATTAGAGCATGTAGTTAAAGAAGCTTGTTTCTGCCATTTTTAGAGGGTTGGGTTTGGAGATAGAATCAGATGTTTTTAAATTCTTGGAAGATGGGATCTGTTGATTGGTTAAGTTATCAAGGATGTTCAAATTATTTCACTTTGTACGGATTCGAACTCTGACTTTTATCTAAGAAATATAATAATTATTTACTTAATAAAAAAATCTGGAAAGATAAGTTAAGAGAAGTTGAAAATTGTATTTTGGGATGTTCTTTGATATTTAAATTGACGAAGGAATCATAGTTATAAAGATAGTCGAATATTATTACTAATGGATATTAATGCATGTTCATTATAGTTGGTTTTGTATTATTGATAACATGGATGATAATTTAACTCAAATTTGACGGGTTTTAAACCGATTCAATTCAATAGGGTCAGATTTTTTTAAAAAAAATCCGGGTTCTAGTTTGGTTCGGCTTGACTTTTTATGGGGCGAGGTCGGGTTGGATCGGGTTCGGGTGGAGGGTGAGAAAATTACGACCTGAGGATAATAATGTAATTTTCTTAAAAAATTTATTGTTATTTTAATTAAATCCTTATTTTTTATTGGGTCGGGTTGGATTTATATTCTAAAAATTTAGGCCGGGTCAAAATTAGGTGGAAGATATATATTTTTCAGATCAGGTCGACCAAAAACCTGACATTAACCTAACCTGTAGCCATTCCCGATAGATAATCTATTTTTGCTTTCAAAAATTTTATGAATTCGTTACTTCTAAAATTTCTAAAAAAAAAAATTCGTCCGTTCATGTTTGGGAATGTAAACACGTGTACCTATGAAGCTTTGTTGGAAAAAGAAAACATATATGACAACGTATTCATGTTCTTGTCTGAAACTCAATTCTTTTAATATTTTTGTAGAATCAGCAAGAAACGGCTTATGAAAATGCAAGAGAGCAGATAGGTGGTGGACATCAGGACTACAACTCGCAGATGCCTTCAATCTTCCAAGTTCAGCCAATTCAGCCAAACTTACAGGAGAGGAAGTAATAACACTGGAGATTATGGTATGCTTCCAAATTTTCACTAGCATGCTTTCTAGTGATAATTTAATGACATTTTCCTGCATATTGAGTTGTAATATTTGTGACTCGGTGTTCTTAAACTCATGCATATTTACTAGTTGTAATATTTGTGAACTTGTACCGTAAAATACCAACTTGGTTTATAATTTATTATCTCCACATAAAATATTGTGTTTTGTCGCATCTTATTAACCTTGCATTGATTTTTGAAAGATAGATATGTCGGTGCCAGCAAACGGCCCTTGAGGCACGCAACGGTTCCTTCGGCCCTCACTCACGTCCACGTTTCAACTATTAGGCTTACATTTTGGGAGTTGATGGCCGTGTTTCGAATTTTTTTCAAATATCAAACTTAGCCTAATAATTTGATCCATTGATAGATTGTAGGGATGGGTATGGGTCGGGTTGGGTCAGATTTTCGGTCAATCCGATCTGATCTGAAAATTATACACCTTCCACCCGATCCGAACTCGACTCAATAATTATACACTTTCCACCTGACTAAAATCCAACACGCTCATTTGAGCTAAAATCATAACCCGATCTGAAATAATATATTTATAAAAAAAGATTACTTTTATTTAATAAAAATATAGATTTAATTAAAAATAATAATACATAGACGAGTCTTATTGGAATTATCCTTAAATATATAATATAAAATTACATTTTTTTTACCGGATCAATTATTTTTCATCATAAATTTGAATCTAACTCGATTTAACCCGAACATAATCTCTAAAAATTCTAAACCAACCCAAACTCAAATTTTTTGTTAAAAAATTCAACTCGATAAATTCAAATCGAATTATAATCAATCGAATTCAGTGCGCATCCCATAAGAGAGAGACAAACAAACCGACCATGGCATCCCATAAGAGAAAGACAAACAAACCGACCACGGCATCCCATAAGAGAAAGACAAACAAACCGACCATGGCCGCAATAATTAGATGTTGCATGGTTGGACACGTGTTCCATCTTCCAACATATAAACCAACATATCGGAATGTCTTACACCAATATATCCCTAAACAATTATATGTATTTTATGAAGAAAAAAAACTGTTACAATCAAATTTTCACACTATTTGGAAAACAACACAAAGAAAAATGGACATTAATTTAGAATTGTATGATGATATTTATAAGAATATACCTGATAGCCATTCTTCTAATTATTTTCTTGCCATTTTCAGAATAATTTTAATATTTGATGTATTATAAAATATTATAACATCATAGAGTATCATCTTCTTCCTCTTCAATTACATAATATGAATTGGGTATTCATAAACTTACATCTCAATTGATATTATATTTGACTACTCATTTACTTTGAATACCGTAGCCAAGGTAACTAAAGCATTTACTATTTATTTATCTTCTCTGATGAGGTAATTAAAAGACACCTCATTAAATTCTTCAATCAACTTTAAGACGAGTTTACGATGTTTGATCAACTTGAGATAATTCGCTTCGTTCTCATATGAGTTAATAAATTATTAAAATTGAATCCTCGTATACTTTAAGGACCTTTATGGCTTTACTCTTTGCCCAATGAGAACTCAAGGATTCAAAATAAAAACTTCATATTTTTTTCATATTATTAATGCAATTGAAAGTCAATCTACTAATAAAAAGGTAGGAAATTTCTTTGGGTGAAACTAAAATTTTCCTAATTTCATGTCCCAAGACATTCGAAGCATTGTCAATATTGTTCAGTTTCCAATATTCACTTGTAGAAATACTTGCTTCTTCTACTAAAATAAGATGGTGGTACGTGTTATCATTTTAGTAGAAGATTAAATTTATCGAATTATAACCAAATTGAAAGTATAAATAAGTAATGATGACCAAATATATAATTATTCATATTTATTTAACTACAACGTCAACAATTTTGTTATTAGTTAACTGTACGCGGCTTAATTAAAATTACTTTAATAGTTTAATAACTTAATTGAAACAATTCCCAGTTTAATGGTCAAAATAGAATCACCCCACTAGTTTAGTGGCCTTCGGGGTAGTTTTCCAAAAAAACAACATATACAAAATTTAAGTAGGCACTTGATATATATAAGCATAGTTCCGATAACTTCTAGTAAAATCCAGAAGTTTGATAGTTGACTTTGAATATTTGAACACCATTTTTGTGTGACGTGTGGATGTGGTATACTTTACAAAAATCCAAAATAATAGACATAAAATTATATTAATTAATTTGATTTAATAATTTAAATAAGGAAGGAAGGAAGGATGTGGTATACTTTACAAGAAGCAAACGTTGGGACTAGAATTTTCGCCTATTAATCACAAATTAAATTCAATGAAAATGACTGCAAGAATAATGAAAATGAGTGGGAGGAATGAACACCACGTCTTAGATTGGTCGTATCTATGAAACTAAAAGCCAATATTTTCCTTTCTTCAATAAATATCCATACGAAGCTTGCAAGAAGCTTCCTCACCCCGTAATTTGCAGATATAAATACCAGCACGCCCTGCATTCTGCTTTCACCATACGTACATACTCCGAAATACAAAGCTTCAAAAATTTCATGTTAATGCTCACTGCTCACGGTCTCTTCAACAAAATGTCTCCGCTCAGCAAGAACGATTTACAGCGGATCTTCGAGAAGCTCGACAAGAACGGCGATGGGTTGGTTAGTCTGGACGAGCTTAATTGGTTGTTGGAGAGAATCGGAGTCCAGTTCAGGCTCGAAGAGCTGGAGTCCTTGGTGGGAAAATCATGTCTGGGCTTTGATGAATTCGTATTCTTTTACGATTCCATCTCGAACCAGAACGGGGGAAATGACGACGATGACGAAATGATCATTGACGGGGATGATGAAGATGGAGAGAGTGACATTGCCAAGGCTTTCAAGGTGTTCGATTTGAATGGCGATGGTTTCATATCTTCCGAGGAGCTTCAGAGCGTATTGGCCAGACTTGGTTTATGGGATGAAAGGAGTGGCACAGATTGCAGAAACATGATTTGCTACTACGACGCCAACTTGGACGGTGTGATTGATTTTGAAGAATTCAAAAGCATGATGTTTCATACCGTTTCTTAATTCAACACTTCCTGTATGAAAAGGGTTCATTATCAGTTGTAATATATTAGTAAACACAGATATAGAGTGTCCCTATTCAATGTTAGAAAAAAAATCAAATAAGATATTGAATTGGTGCAATTTTATATTTTTGACAATTTTAATCATATATATTCTAAAGTTGAAGAATTGCCATTTTGGAATGCAAGCATTAGTTTTTGTTCATTCATCTATTTCTCTACTTAATTTTTACGTCATTGTTATCGAATGGGTAAACTACACGAGCAATCATTGAATTTTAAATACCAACTTTAATTGCATTTTCAAAATCTAGGAACTAATTTGTAAAAGCTTAACTTATACTCAGGGGCGGAGCTCAATGATGGCCCAAAGGGGCCCGACCCCTGTTAAAATTTGTATATTTGATATAATTTTGTTTTAATAGTATTTTGGTTCATGTAAAAATAACTATTTAAATTTTAAAATATAAGAATTTATTAAATATTTAATCAAGTAAGAAACGAACTAAAAAAAGGATAATATCGTGTTCTCAAAATTTTTGGTCTAATAACAATTTAGGTCATTGTAAGTATACATATTACACAAATTAGGTGTCATCTTGAGAATTTTGAGGTTTTTTTAATTTTTTTTTTATAAATCTAGGGTGAATAAAAGATAATATTTGTACAAAGACTCTCAACTATTTGACAATGAACGCTCATACCCCTAATGTGCAGTGCTCGAACTCGAGACCTCAATGATAATAACAATCCCTTAATCGCAAAGGTCGCTTGATTCGTGCTGAATTTTGAGTTTAAATACCTAATAAGTCTTTATATTTTTCTTAAATATTCTAATATTTATGCTCATGTCAATATTTAGTTATGACTCCGTCCCTGCTTATATTTAAATATTCTAATATTTCGACCCTTTCAATATTTAGTTCTGACTCTGTATCTGCTTATATTTGCACCTAGGTTTAAATAGCAATTTTGTGGGAAATAATTTAAAATAATTTTCTATGATTGCTAATTTGAAGGATCAATTCTTTTGAAAAGGAGTCGATACTTTTTCAAAAATGATAAATCTTTTTTTTTTAGAAAATTAAAGAAAACACACTGCAAAACAGAGCTTTAGAAGCGTTTTTTTAGTCCTATAGCAGCGTTTTTAAGCGCCACTAAAAGCACTTGCGGTGATAGGAAGAACGCCGCAAGAAGCACCGGCCATACCAGCGTCGCTAAAGTTAGGGGCGTTTGAGAATAAAAATGCCGCAATAGGTCAAGATATATAGCGGCTTTTTTGGAACAATCGCAAAAGGTCGAGATCTATAGCAGTGTTTTTGGAACAAATGCCGCAAAAGGTCAAGATCTATAGCGGTGTTTTTGGAACAAACGCTGCAAAAGGTCTAGATCTATAGCGGCGTTTTTGGAACAAACGCCACAAAAGTTAAGATCTATACCAACATTTTTGGAACAAACACCGCAAAAGGTCAGATCTATAGCGGCATTTTTAATACAAATGCCTCTAATTACCTTTCTTTAGCTAAGATTAATTGATTTTGTATATTTCATTTCTGCTCTACATCATCTAAATTTAATATCATGTAGCTTTATCTAATTAACAATAACCATACATTTTAATTAAGACACAAGTTATGCAGAAAAATACTTAACAACAAAATAAATTAAAATTTATAAAAATAAAAATTAAATGTAATGTAGTTTGACATTGTTCTCTAGAATTTAGTCTAGGTTTTTTTCACTTTCAATTAAAAAAAATATTGTTCACTTGAATTTAGTCTTTATTGCTCCTTCTTGAGGAAAGGAAGTAAAAAAACAGTTTTCCTTGTTTGATGAAGTATCATTAAGTTTTTTCTCTGTGTAAATTGTATATGGATAAACTCTTTATCCATTTCACCAAATAAATCCCCTAGCTCCGGTTCACCAAGAAGACTCCTTGCGCGCTTCAGTTGAAACAGATAACGACCTTCCACCAATAATATGAAACTTGATTGGAGGTGGCTTGGGAACTGAATCAAACATTAAACAAAAAAAATTAAAATAAAAGAAAGAAGTTTTTACTTGGAGTAACAGTAGAGGTTGCGTCGTCTTCATCGAGAATAGATAATGCTTTTGCAATTGAAGATTCTTTCAATGCCACAAATTTCCCCAATCCGGTTCTAAACATCAGGTATTTATCTAGTCCTCTATCATCGTTCTCAATAAGCTTCGAGCATCCTGCATGCGTACGATCTATGAAATCTGAGAGTATAAAATAAAAATATAGCGGCGGTAAGATTCAGAGACTATTACCTTGAATTAGGAGATCGACCATGGAAGGGTATGGAGCAATAGGAGTTTCTTTTGGGTCATCATCGAGTTTTGACGGCAAGAACGGACCGAAAGCCTCCCAACGATAATTTGATCCGTCGTCAGAGCAAATACGCCACATGGACATTCCGACGATAGTTTCTCTTACTCTATCTTTTTGTAAACTAGTTCGAGTGTCCTCAATCTATTACATGAGAAGTAGTACATGTGACTTCCTAAAGAGCAAAGACTATTGAGCAGCAACCAACATTAAGAAAAACACATACCACAAGAACAAAGAAAAACATGTCAGGATAACATAGATTCTTATTCAAAATTGAAAAAAAAAACTTAAAAAGGAAAAAGGAAAAATAAAGGACATAGTATGTAAAACAAGAGAGCTAATAATTATTGGTGGTCAACAACCAACATTAAGATTAATGTCACTACCGGCTAAACAAAAATCAAAGGATAAAAAAGAAGACGACACAAAATTAAAAAAAAAAACTAGGTTTAAACTATCAAGCTGCTTACAACTTAAACCAACCCTTATTCGGATAATTATACATTTTATGAGTTAATGCCATCTAGGTTTGCAACTATAGAGGCGGACATTTAATTTGAGTATGCATGGTCTCCATCTACGTTAGTAAGCAGAGAACAAAAATCATAAGGATGTGCCCACCTTCCATTATTATAATATCATATGTATTGAAATCATCATATGTTACTGAGGTACGCCAATTTAGGTGACAAAAAAGTATAGAGTGAGAGTGAGATGAGCATCCAAACCTTGAGAGATATGGGTTTCACGGTTTTTGTTAATTTTGTTAGTAAGAGTATTCACGTTTCTTCTCTTAAGGAAGTGTTTCAGGCCTATGGTGAGGTTTTAGATGTGTTCATTGCGTATAAGAGTTTGAGAATCGTTGAGTCCACTTTTGCTTTCGATAGGTTTAGAGATAGAGCTGAAGCAAACTTGGCGGTGAGGAGGGCTGATGGTAGGGTGTTGGATGGTTTCAAGATTAGAGTTTTCCATGATAAAAATGATGATAGTCTCAGTAAGAAAGTTGTTGTCGATAGAAGTTTTAACAAGGTTTGGAAGCCAGCTCTAAGGGATGCTTGGTCGTTGAAAGAGGTTGAGGGTGGTGCGTTGGCCGTAGGTGGGAAGTCAGTGCCGAAGCCTGTTGGCCAGTAGGTTTCTGTTGCAGCTGTTCATGTATCGGTTGCCGATGATAGTGAAGTAAGCTCTGCATCCAAACCTTTTGAGGATAGCAGGAGTTTTATAATCTCAAAGAATGATCTTTCATGGAGGGAAAGCAGCCTGGTGGGCAAAGTTAAAAACATATGTAACGTTAATGAGATTCAATAAGCTTTCAAAGCTGAGGGTTTGGATGTGAAGGTTAGCTTTTGGCATGACATGTTGATTATTATTCAATTCAAGAATGTTAAAGATCGTCAGGTGTGTTTGTTAAAAAGTGATGATTGGTTTCGTTTATGGTTTGACGAGTTGGATTCGTTGGACGGTTACGAAAATAGGCTTAAATTTAAAGTATGGGTTTCTCTGATAGATGTTCCTCTTTCTATTTAGAGTGTCAAGCTTTTCAATGATATTGGAAGCTTGTGGGGAAGAGTTGTCATGATAGATAAAGAAACTTCTGATTGAGATAGGTTCGATGTTGCGAGATTTTTGGTGGAAGTTAAGTCCGTATCTTCTATTCCAGAGAAATTATCCTTCTTCTTCAAAGGTCGTTTATACTCCATAAAAGTTCTAACCGATGTGCAGGAAGAGGCTTGTGCTTCTTTTGATGAATCCTTGGTGGACGGAGGAGCGTGGTGTGCGGATGTTAAAGAAGGCTCAAATTCTCCATTATTCGAGGTTGTGGGGGCTGCAGGAGGTGGTCTCGAGATGGGCTGTGTCGAGCAGGAACATGTTGAGGTGGAGTGTCAGAGGCGTGTTAATGTTGCTGGCTTTATGGAAGGTGAGTGGGAGCATGCTGCTGGTCTCGAGGACGTTAGGGGTGTTTCTGTTGCAGGGCCCCATGCAGTTCCTTTACAAAATCATAATGGGCCAGGTGAGCTGACCGTGACCGATGATAGTGCTGGGTTAATGTTTATTAATAACGGTCGGGATTTTGATTAGGTGACCCAATCCTTGTCCAGCATCTCAAGTCCCTTAGAAGCGCATATCGACGAGGTGTTGCATCCCCAAGTGTCGGATATGGCTTTTTCGTCTGCTATTTGTGAAATCAAACCTGGTTTTTCTCTAAAGAGGCTTAAATTCCCACGGATCTCGGGCGTTGACAGAATTTCAAAGTCTAGCAAGATGGGGGAGAGTCGGGTCAGCCTTAAATTGTGGTCGAGACTCAAGTTTGGGAGAAGGATAAAGCAGGGTCTTATTGATCGGATTGGTAGGCCAAAGGTTAGAGGCAATCGTAAACATAATGGAGGCAGAGGCGGAGTGTTCTCTGAGGGTGTTCGAGGCGAAGTCTTTCAAGCGAAGAAGACTCTAGCGAGTGATGTTGCTTTGGGGGTGGAGGTTGCAGGGCTAAGAGGTGTTGAGTTTCGAAGGTTGGGGGCTGAACGATCTTCCTTAGGCCGCGGTTGTTTCCAGTAATGATCGATCTTGCGTGTAACTTGGAAGCTTTCATTTTGTGGTGTTTTATTCGTTTCTTTGCTGCTGTGATTAGATGAATTGGTTTCGTTGGGCTGCCTGGAGCAGCTTTGCTCTTTGGAATTTTGCTTTGGTCCTTGCTCGAGTATTTTGGCAGCTGTTTCAATGTGGGAGCTGTTTACTGGTTGTGCTAAGTTGCTTGTCTTTGTTCAAGCTATGGT